TGCAGAGAGAGGGGCAGTAAACCCCCTCTCGCTTGCCTGTCTTCTGCCTGGAGACCTGGCGGGTCCTCTCTCCGAGCCTGGCTCAAGTCACCATCCATCTCATCCTTGTGAGGTTTTGTTCAAGAGCGAGTTATCACCTCCCAGGTTTGCACTGTTATTTCCTACACTTGCCCATATCCATCTATACACTTTTTCCCAAGGGTGGCAGGTGAAACTTCAGATGGCTACCTGCTTATCACGGCATTGGGGACTTGCGTTGAATTACCTCCTCTTTGCATTGGTTTCTTCAGGAGCTAATTCTTGTTTAGGTGCTGAGCCACGAATACGATCCCTTGCCAGCCCGTAAAGATATCTGACTATCCCTGGACCCCCCCAATGCTTTTTTAGTACCAGTATATATTTTACCAGTCCAGTAGGTTAATATTTGGCATCTGGTTTGCTAAAGAAAGATGCAAATAACTTCCAGGTGTTTTTCTGGCAGTTTGGAGTATTATGGCATTGGCTTCAGTCTAAACAGCCTTGCTTCTGGCTTTTTAAAGATAAAGCAGACATTGTTCGGGGGGTTTGGGACATTGTAAGTAGTTGAATTGAGCGGGGCCTATGAAACAATTCATGTTAATCGTTAGCTCTCCAGACTGCTGTGGGCAGTCATATTAAAATTTGATATTGGTGATTACATTTTTCAGAAAGATTGGATAATATTGGCTGATGTGGCTGCATTGATTTTTAATGATCTGTTTTTAGAAGACTAAAAAGAGATTTGGCTTTAATCTGCTGAAATCTCTTTTTGAGCACCCTTTAGTTCTTCCTGATAACAGTTTTTAAGCCCCCAAGACCTGACCTTGCAGGCTGCTCTGGATGTTTTTATTGAGGTATTAATGCTCCTTACCTGAAATGACTTTGAGGAGCTCAGCATCTTAGGGCTGTGCCTCTGCAGTGTAATGACCTACACAGTATCCTTTGCAAGCACCAAAAATAAGACTTGAGTCGCTTCCCATTCTGCCCCTACATAATAAAACAGTTTAACAGTGCTCACCTCTGCGCATTGGCATCTGCTAGTAACGGAGAGCCTCTTTTAGGAGGCCTCCCCCACCCTTCCAGCTCCTCACTGTTAGAAATATTCACCCTTTTTCTCGAAGTCAGAGTATCTTTATATATTATAATTGCAATAATTGATTCTGCTTCTGCCTCAACCCGGAATAAATATCTCCCTCAACAGCTCTGTATAACCGTTGTGCCTGCAGCCTGGGCATTTATTGAGCATGCGGGAACCATTTATCGCCTGTGCTTTGAACTAGGTTTGATTATCTCCTGATTACTTCTTAATTATATTGGCAGCCTATAGTCAAGTGGGAGGTGACTGCCAGTGGAGCAGAGGGGCAGGCCGGGGGCAAATGAAACAAACTGCCTGTTTTGGGTCAGGGAAATAAATGTCTCTTCTTCACCTGACGTTTGGACATTTTGCTCAGTCATTGTATGTGGCTAATGGACTGGATCCTGCTCTTCCGGTAGCCTTTCTGCTTGATAGTAAGGGAAACGGGTAACTAAAATCCAGCGTATTGATGATCATCGATAGGCCTGTGCCTGCAAGTGGTCCTCCATGGAGAAGAATGGCGTAGCTTATTGATATTGAAACAGTGCGGCCATGAACCACGGAGGAGTGAATGCGTGTGCAGAGTAAATTAGTTCCTGTATTAGAAACCCTCCGGGAGTTCAGTGATGCAGGATGCGCAAGTTAGCTGCTAATTAAGAACAACCTGAAATGAATGTGTATGGGGGCAGGGCTGGAGAGGTCGGCAGTCAGATGGTGAGGCTGTCTGCCCAAATTCCAGCAGGAAAGTCCTATTTTCTAATGGCACTTTGGGGGCACAAGTCCATTAAAATGGAGTTCAGCTCCAGAGTAAGACACTTCTGAAGACGTTGCCCAAGAAGAAGAACAGCCCGTGAGGCAAATCCGCTCCGTGAGCTGCTGAA